CTAAATAAAAATTTTTAATTCTTTAAAACTATTTTATCATCTAGTTTCATCATTTCCTAAATAAAATAAATATTTTAAATATTTTAAAATAAAAATAATTTAAACATGTAGGAAATATAATATATATTTAAACAATAGGTACATATAGTTCATTTCAGTAAACATAATAAACTGAGTTTAAGTGATAAAAGCTTAATTTTTTTACCAATGTATTTAATCCCCTTTTTCTCAGTGCTGCAACACATGTGTGTCCTGTTTTGTTTTCCTCCTTAATGTTTATTAATGCGTTTCACCCTTGGGTTCAGAGACGCAGAACTTTTGCTACATGAAAACACTTTCGACTCGAAGGTGGCAAAAGACAACAAACACTTGGCGTTTTGATAAAGTCTGTTAAATTGAATCGTTTAATTAGCTTGATGGCATGGAAAGCAGATTCAAGAGACAATTGATGGGCTCGAGTTTGAAAAGTAACCACAAAACGCACAATGAACTTAAAGCTGCTGACTTTTAAAAGGAGTTCTGAATCCAAGTCTACTGACGAGGAGTTTTGCACCCACAGCTTTTCATTTGTTACACCCCAGTGAACGGGTTCAGCGATTAATCGGGAAAGAAGTATTTTTCCATTTTACTGGTTTTCTAGTCCCGGGTTCATTTTAATTACAAACCAAATTTGCCGGCTGGCAAATGAGCGCAGTACTTGAAATCCTGCGGCTGATGGGCACGATGAAGTTGCAAAATATTTGATCAAGTGTTTGGCATTTTTTTCTTTTCTCTCTTATTTTCCCGCTGCTGCAAGTGAAAGCTGTGCGAAAAGCGAGCAAGAAGGGGAAATTCTGAGGACAACAAGTAACTTCTTTTGCGCGAATTCATCCAGTCGAGGCTTAATGAACAGTCTTGGCAGGGGATTCGCCTTTCGCCCTGCACTTGCTGTTGATACAACTCATTAGACGCAAACGAATGCGTACTCAAGTGGTTTGCCCGTACAGTCAGTCCTCGCTTCACCCACCTTCTTCCCCGGGGGTTCGAAACTTGATGCTTAGCGATCTGAATCAAAGCCGCTGGATGGCTACAAAAAACTAAGGATGGGCAAGCCGTGCTTGCTCAGTTCAAGTTTCTTAAATCGCGACCTTTAAGTTGAATTCAATATCGTGACTTGAAATACTTTTGAGTTTAAATGGTTGCTCTTAGCAGTGCTGTTCAATTTATTAATCAGTTACGATTTCTATTCAGTTAGTATAAAGAAATACCATTTAAGAACAATAACATATTTAATGAGAAATCCATTAAAAATCGTTTCAATACTCCGACGCAAAAGGTTTCACCTTATTGTCAGAAAAAGGGAAAAATATTTTATAATTGAAATACGCATTATGGCCTAAGTAAACAAGCCAAGTCACTCTGGCTCTTCCCCGAACAAGTTTATTACTAATCCGCTGCCAAAGATAAACTCAAATATTGTCTGCGCGAAAAAAACAACCAAATTTTAATCAAAACAAGAACAGAAAACAGCGAAAAAAAGCATTCAGACAAATGCGGTACTTTGGCAGCTTAGCGCGGCATTTGGCTAAAAGGAAAACAAACAAAGGGGAAAATGAGGAGCGAAAGCCAGCAAAATTATTAAGCCAAAATTAAAGGGAATACTAGAGCGAAAAAAACCAAAAGGAAAGGATAACAAAAGCGCGTCAAAGGATCAAAGGTAGAAAAAATAAGAAAAAAATAGAGGGAGGGGTAAGAACCACCTTAACCTAAACAAACATGGCCAAAAGTGAGCTGCGGCTAAGACAACTAAACCGAAATTCAGAAGTGCTAAAGCAAATTTAAGCGGAAAATTCTAATAAGCTCGTCGCTGGTCAATGGGGATGAGAAAAGTCGTCGTCAAGGGTGAATTGTAATTCAACCCTTTTTGGTGACTGACAGCAGACCGCGAAAATTTAATTCACGCGTAAAAAGTAATTTTTTCAATCATCTCACGATGAACCACCAAATATTTCAGCAATTTAAGCCGCTTTCGAAGGGAGCTCGTGTAAAATATTCTTAATTAATAATAAAATCCCGACCCATTCCCCGAAGTGTAGTCAATTGAAAATTTTGCGTTTTGGCAATGAGCCGTTCGAAATCGCTTTTAAAGCCGTTGTAATTAAGCAGCCTCAACGGCCAAGAGGCGGAGGTTTTGGGGTCGCGGCATTATGACATGATTATGAATTGCTCTCCGGCCGCAATATTCACGAGGGGTTAACAAAAGCCGCAGCACAATCGGCCGGGCCAAAGCCAAAAGTCAATAGTTACGGCGGACGGGGGCCAAGATCCCCACAAAGTTTGATGCGCGAAATTAAATTTGGAATTTTGCTTGAATTTAATATTAATTAGTTGAGCGTTTGTGTTTCGGTTATGCAAATTTCTCTGCTCATTTCGCTCGCTTTCGAAATTGTATATTAATTAGCTGAAAACTTTGAAATTGAAGTCTGCTGCGACTCTTTGGGGATTGTTTAACATTTGTGATGCATAATTTACATCGGGCTCAAAATAGAAATGCTTGCTTATTTACTTTGTGAAATAAAGTTTGATGATTACCTGTTCTTTAAAACTGAGTAAGAAAAAAATAGTAAACATTATTTTACATTTATGTGTACATATTTTTTGTTCAAAAGTAAAATAATTTTATAAAAACCATTTTCGATTAACCTCACACGTAAGCTTACTACCACTCTAGTAAATCAATAGCAATCCTCTTAATAAAACATATTAACAACTTCAGTTATTAAATTTAAAAGGCTTAACTGTAACCCTTCTGCTACCACAACTCCGATAAAAATCCCCTTTGAATCGAAAAGTCAATATGCATTAATAATTTTAAATTTCAGCTCGACACTTGTTACAATTTTTAAAGCTAATTTGAGGGGAGGCAGTTTACGCAGACAGATATTGATAATCCGCTTATAAATGCAATTTTTCCGACGGGCTTTTAGACGAGAGTTTTTCCACATTTTCCGCATGAGCAGCGTTTTGAAACTGGAACTATTTCTGCCCTCGGGGGTGGTAATGAATCGCAAATATCTGGAGACAAAGGACAGTAGCTAAGCCTGTTAATAGCCGGAGGTTGGAGGGAAAAAAGCGAGTGGTTAATGTGACATAATTGAAAATCAAAACTAAAGCACTTAACTCCGATTCCTCCCAGCGAAATGCACAAAAAGTTGAACATATGTGAAGGACAGTGGATGGGGGATGGGCTGGTTTTCCAGACGAATCCGATTTCCGGGGTCGGAAGAACCCAAAATGACAATTTAACTGTCAACCAGTTTGCAGTTCCAGTTCCAGTTCCGCTGACAAGTGTAATCGGCCAGAAGGTGGCCGAGTTAATAGAGTGTGATTCTGATGGGTTTCAATTAGGCAAATGTCACCGGGAAGTTCGCTCTTTCAACTTTGATTGATTGGAGGTGTGTGCGGGTCGTCTCCTCGATTCAATCGCTCAGCCAACTGTCAGAGTTCCTCGGGTTACCCAAACATTTATGCCCAATGCTAATTGCTTATGATCTCTGCCCACATTTAGGTGTTGTATAACCAATTGAGGTGGTCCCCTCCGTCCCCTGAAAAATTTACAATGACAATTGGCACAATAAATAGTCTCAACTTTCAAATTTCTCTCTTTCCCTTTTTCAGTTCTCCTATTACCTTTACATTAAATTGTGATATAAACACCCCAATTGTTGTCGTTTTTTGTGCCCGTCTTTTCCTTGTTTTGTGTAATGCGAATTGACTTAATTAGCATTCGGATCAAATATCACCAGGGGTAGACGGTTTTTTGGGGCGGTAAATAAGGTGGTATTTGTTGAACGCGATCTGGGTGTGGTTTGATGGAAAACGTTGGTAAAATTTAAACGCGACTGAAAAAATTAAATTAGCCAAGCAATGTTAGCGAAATGCGATAAACTTACATAGCATAATATTGTAATCACTTCTATTGTAGTGTAGCTTTAGTTCAAATATTTAACAAAATAAGCATGGGTTAACGAATGTCTAGAGTATGTGTAGCTTATAATTGAAAAGAAATTCAAATAAACATGGAGTTGGGAGAAAAAAGGAAATACTTATTTCGACAAGCCAACGTTTTCGTAATTTTGACAATATTATTTCACAAATGGCGGCATACACGCAAACGCGTTTAAAAATACAATACAACTTTTTGAATAAAAGTGTAATAACATGTTCGGTTGTTTTCTTTTTACACGTTTTAAACTTTGTTTTCCATTTTTAAATTATAAACCTACTAATGCTATGGTTTCTGCCTTTTATTCCATTTCATTTAACCTTTCTTACCGCCTGGGGACTGCAAGAAATGCCAGAAACATTCGAAAAACGGGAAGGGAAAAATCCTTAAAACTGAAAAACGAAAAGCCTCACCCACATATGCCCATTTATCATGTCAAACCTGACATTTGTAATTGTAAACTGATACGCCTCGAAGGCAAACCCAGGAATTGGAGTGGGGCAGTTGTCATATCTATTTCTATAGCTTTCACCAAAAACCAGCAACATATGCGAACATTTTAAAGGAAGGAGCTCTTTTACTTTCCACACATGAGATAGTCCCTTCAGCACACAAACGAAATTTCCTCAAAAATGGCGAGCCATTTAAAATTCAATTAAAAATCGTTAAATCATTTCAGATTCGCCGCGTGCCTGTCGAAAAGTGCAAAAACCACTTAAACGTCATAAGTGTCGCTATAAATTTAAAAAATCTTTGGCTCTTCCAAAAATTTCCCTAAGTAACCCTCATATGAAAAGTGGAAAACTTCCAAGCACGCGACTGTCGATGATGGGAAATTGCCGGAGGTGGATTCGCCGATACTGTTCTTGAAAATTATGCAGAAATCAATGAGAACGTACCCGCATAAAAAATATTAAGGGAAAACTTGTTTTCCACTCGTGAATTTAAAGAATATGCAATCATGTACTTCAAATATATACACTGGAATAAAATTAATTTCAGTTTGGGAGAAAGCTTTAAAATTAGCCACAACATTTATTGGAGTCAACAATTTTTTGAAAAGGCATTACATATTTAAATAGTGAAAATAGAAAGGTTTAACGATGTTAATATTTGCATTTAAGATGGGAACTTAGTAGCCGATTTTTTGAAACTGCCAATCTTTGTTGTCTAGAGGACAAATTGGACGCGTCTTGAGCCAGCGAGAAATGCAGTGGAAGTGGTAGGCGTGGTTGCACGTGCCCCATGCCACGTTGCAATCAGCCTCCAATTCCGATACCTGGTTGGCCTGGCACTCGATGCACAGATCCGTCATCAGGTTGCGGCAAATGGCGCAGTTGTCCACCTTGATGTCTGCAGTTGGGGAAATTACATTTTTGAAATCGGACTGCCTTAGTTACTCACCCCAAGACCAACTCGCGAAGCCAACCCACTATTTAGGAATGTATATGTAGAAAGTTAATTGAATTTAAAGGCAAGGGTTAAGTAAAATATTGGATCATTACCTTCCGAACCTCAAAGCGATTCATATGACGCTGGCAAAAGGCCATTTCAACAACCTCGGGGTCCTCGGTTTCCATTTTAACTGATTCCTTAGATCGTTCAGTTCTATCCAAATCGACATTGACAACTGTTTCCCTGGATGTTCTTTTTCATCTGCCTTAAGTTGGAGATAAAAAGTTATTTCCAATTTAAGTCCATGTTTGCTGAGTGTGAGTCAAGTGAATCATTTATTAAACCAATCATTTATATCTAATATGTAGCATTAAAAGACTTAAATTTTATATTTTTTCTTTCTTATCAAAAATAATGTAACCCTTTTATCTCTTAAAAGATTTCATAATCTATCAAATCTTAAAAAATTACCAAAGGCCAAAAATATTATCGCCAAATTTTAAATAAAGAGTTAAGAGTTCACATAATAATTGGTGATAAAGTGTTTAAAGTCCTTAGAATAAGAAATATATTCCTGTGTATTGAAATCAATTATAATGACAGACAATGGAGTGGTCGTACTTAAAAATAAATACTTGGCTCTTTTTTTTTATACATTATTCATAATATAATTTCTGGAATTACCATTCTACCTTGTCTTGGTGCAACGTTTTTGCCTGAGGTGTTGTCTGCAACTGCTCTGATCTGACATTTTCACGGCCCATTGAGATGCTCGGCTGCTTTTCCATTTTCCGCCGCCGTTCCTTCCGTACCTACTCCTTCATTTCTGCCTCCCCCTTTTCCACCCACGTAAGTCCTGCATTTTTCCATGTGCCTGTCAACATTTTAATTAAAAAAGGTTACGGACCCGTGACTACTGCCCATTCAGTTCCGTTCAGACAAACGGTCCTGGCCAAAAAGCCATATGTAAAATTCGCGATTTCTTTCGGGGGTCACCCTTTTGGGGGCGGGGGATGGGGGTGTGGCCACTGCGAAAAGGGTGCCAAAATAATAAACTCGTTTCGCAGTTACAAACAATTTCCTTTTTCAATTTTGCCTGCTCCCGTTGTTGGTCGGTCATCGTCTTTTTTTCCAGCTATTTGGTGTTTTGTGTTTCGTAGGTCATTACGCCCGTGTGTGTGTCGCATTACGGAATAGTCAAATAAGTCCGGCCCGCCGGTCTCCGGTTCCACTTCTGCCGTGGTCCAGTCCAGTCCATTGTTTGCCATCATTTTAATTTTATTTATTGTGCGACTGCCAGCCAACCCCGCTCAAAAACACTAAAAACAAACGTAAAACATGAACTTTACCACATTCACTTTTCGCAGATAAAATACAACATAATTTATTTATGTAAAACTGTTTTATTTAAAATTTTCAGTATAAGGTATAAATATTTTTAATAATTCTGAGATTAAAATTTGCCTTTGGCGTCAACTTCTTTTTTTCGAGTGCTCATATGGAAACCCCATCAAGGCTCATGCAAATTAGATGAATTGCTTTGCAGACCAGGTTCGCCGACTTCCACTTCTATAATGACTTGGCCACTCTGACCATTTCATCGGCTCCCTCCCTTTCTTTTGGGCCAACCCCACTTTTCAGCTAGCCATGTCAATGGTTTTGCGGACATTTATTGTTTGAAAGCTATTACCCCTGCCCAAGAAATGTAAAGCGAAGACTCGACACCGTTTTTGATTGTTTTCTGTTGGATTCGAGGGCGGAGATCCGGGGGAGAGATATGCCCATCTAGGACTGCCATAATGTTTAATTGCTTTGTCATTATATTTGCAAGTTATGGCTACTTGTACATGGACTCTAGGGCCTTCATCTGAGTGCAGTGGAAATGCACTCGAGAGTTGAGTACAGTTGCCACTTGAGGATGTAGTCAAAGCTAGAGTTTAGGTAACAAGGATGGTACGTTAAATTCAGCGGGATGGTATTTTAAATTCTCACTCAAAATTATATACTTTTGAAATTAAGAAATATTTAAGTTTTATGCTTTGCTTTAGTAAAAAATAACGTTATCTCATTTAATTTATTTATGGCTTAAATTACTTAAATTTACATGATAACATACACTCCTTCGCAGGTGAATCCCAGTAAGCTTCTATTCATTGCAGCACCATCTCAACTCACCCAAATTCAAATCCCCTGACTGACAACCCAACGAACCCTAACCACTTGCAGTGCAGCTTGACATTTCCATTCATTTGTCTACGCAATGCCTCCTGGAAAAAGCGGGAAAAAGAAGTGACCGAACCGAAAAACATTTCAAACTCGTCCATCGGAGCGTTTCGCCATTTATCCATTCGCCATTGTTCGATGGCCGAGTGCAGACAGCTGCCCGCTGTGATGCTGGCCAAAAACTTCTACGGCTGTCAATATGGCCAGCACGGAAAACGGAGGGAAAGCCAGAAAAGGGAGCCGGAAAAGACTAGAGATTGGCGGGCATTTTTTCACGCCACAAATGAAAGCGCGCTGGCATTTTAATCAACATTAAGCAGAAATGCTTTTTGCAAACATTTCTTTGCCCCACGTCTGTCCATCAGACTGACAGAAAGTCCTGGGCATTGTCATTAATTTTACGTATGTGTTTTGGTCATTTATAACGCCGAGACTTGCAAATTAAAAAGTAGCCATCGGGACCGAAACAACAGGGTAAAAAATCAACCTGAAAACTTTCTCGAGCAGCGGAAAAATTTCAATTATAAGCCACGGTAAAATGTCAAACCGAAAGCGCGGCAAAAAGAAATGGCTGATGTCCCTTGGGAACCGAAAAACCTCAACACTTCAAAGTCGCCTGCTTCGATGGGAATTATCCCAAGCAATTTTCCTTGGGTGCTAATAATTACACCCTCAAAAAAATGGGGGAGAGGCGAATAGCAGCAAAGGTTATGATTATGAAACGGCTTTGACAAGATTTTCCAAAACGGTTTTACGACTTGACCCGGCCAAGTTCCTCAGCTCCTGTAAAATATTTCATTAATTTTAATTGGAAACTGCGCTTAGACGTCCAACGGCGGTCGAGTAGATAATTACAAGGACGAGTTTTCCCCTCAGACGGTCTTTTCAAATATTCACAACAAGTGGAAACAATGCAATGGAATTGTGGAGTGGGAAGCGTCTTAGGGGAGGACGCCCAGCTTAATTTGAAACAAATGTCGTAAAAACGTGAAAACATAATTTGATGCTTGACTGATGCCCAGGATTAGGAGATAAAAATTTTATAAAAAAGAAAAAAAAACTATGCTTCAGCTGTGACTCTTAAAAATGAGAGTCCAAGGAAAAAAGTATTTGTTAAGCTGCTACGAATTTTAAATGTTGTTGGATCAAGCCAATAAGTGTATCCCGTAGACAGGAGATTTATTTGAGTAATAAAACGTTTCTTTAAAAGTCTGTTCTGTTCACAAAATTTAAAACGATTTTATACACATCTTGTACTTTGTACTTTTAAATGGAAATAATATTTATGTAGATTCAAATGGTTAAAATCTTTAGTTTTATCCAAAAATTAAGTAGGGTTGTGAACGTAAAAAATGTAATTTAAAATTGGATTTCAACAAAACCTAAAATGGCACTCAGGACTTTACATGGACAAAATCGACCTGCCAACCCAAAAAGGACCCACAGATTCTATTCGCACCCAACCGTCGCCCGAAAAAACAACTCTCGTAAAACAATTCAATCAAATGGTAGCTACAAGTTCCTAAAACTAATTAAAATGCCATCAACGAGGCTCGTATGTGACAGTGTGTTCAACGGGAGAAAGGGGAAAATACTAAGGGAGATTTGAGTTGAGGCGCCGCGGGCCTCGAAACCACAGAGATTTTCCGGCAGTGGGAGTACGAGGTGGGAGGCCGTTCCAGTTGAAACTGCCATTTACGCGTAATTTGACGGGCCTAAAAGGACGAGAAAAAAATATTACACTGTAAAAAGAAATCTGAAATGTCTTTTTTATGATAAGAGTTATTTACTGAATAATAATGTACTTAAGTGTTTAATAGAATGAATTACTAAGCTTTAATAGGAACCTTTATTTTATAAATCAATATTTTATGTCATTAAAATTAATTACTCCATTTTAGATAAATATATTTTCAATTAGTTGAAATTATAATATTGGTTATTCCTCAAGTCCTTCAATAAGTGAAAGTTGTAAGAACATAATCTATTTGCTATCCACCTTACTAAAAAAAAATTATGTTATGTAATTCTGGTATTGTTTTTCAATGTGTATAGGAGTGCGGGTCTTGGGGAAATTCCGCGAGGCTGTGTTTGGGCAAGTTTGTCAACGCGGTTTTCGCCAAAGTGCCAAACAACCGCGTGATTTATGCGCTTTTAAAGCACTTAACGGCGAACAGGTCTATGAAGTCCTAACCCCGAGTCCGATTTCCTCGTGGACACGGTCAGGACTTGCAATAAATTTTGCGTGGATAAATCTTTCAACTACATAAATCTCACGCGCCGAATTTGAGCCGCTTCTGTTTGGGCTCGTACTTTATTTTTTTGCCGGATTCGCACAAATCAAAGCGTAAATTGCTTTGATTTGAAAGCTTTTACGCGAAAAGCCTCCGGGGCTGACTGTACCTTGCAGCCAAATGCCTGGGAAAATGGAGTGAGTAGCACCAATTAAAAATAATTCCAAATATGGCATATGCCCGAATTTTTTCACATTGAAAGCCCGAGGAGGAGTTACGACCAAATATCGTAAAATTTTATCATGGAAAAGATTAAAATAAAGCTGGAAACAGCGCAAACATCTTTGGCCGTAACTTAAAGCCGCAGAAGGCTCCACATGTGCGATATTCGCGGGCTTGCCGAACTCGCAATTAACGTTTGGCAGTGGGTGGTAAGATCCGGGGGCGGGGGCGTGGCACCCGGCAGCCGACTGAAGGCCAAGTCAAATAAACATAAGTTTTTATGCGTTTGGTAATTTTTGAAACGCGGGTGGTGGTTTCGATTTCGCCTTCGTTTTTGGCGATGTGAGCGTGCGATGTTGCATTATATTAGATCATATTAAATATCAATAATTTAAACAGCTTACGAAAGTAAATAATTTTAATTCGTAAACTAATTCGTAAAATTTAATAAAATTAAAAAAAATGGTTTGGTGATTGCAATATAACAAACAATTTAACCTTTAACTCAAATTAATAATGTACGGTAAATTCTTCTCAGAAGATTATGATAGAATTACAAAAGGTGCAAGGTCTCTTTCCTATCTTTT